CATATATTTTCAAAGCTTTTTTATAGCTATGGCCTAAACCCATTTAAAGATCAAATTTTAATGACTGAAGCAAGTGGACTTACAAACTTCCTATTTTATGATTTGTTTCTCCAGTACCTAGACTAATACACCGAGTAAACTGTTTATTTTCCAAGACAGTTTCCGGTCATCCTTAGGGAAATCCCATTGTACAGAGAAGAAAGAGGAAATGCCTGTAGATGAAGCAACGTTCAAGTCATTGAGAATTTCATAGGGCAAATTTTAAATCTTTTTAAGTGCTATATATGGAGGAATCACTGGATTATTACTTCACATTAGAAATTAACTAGGTAAAATTTTATTTTCTGAAATAAGAGTTATTCCCACTGTAAGCTAAAGAGTAAAAGGATGACTCGGCACACCCATACCCAAAACCCCTATTCGCACACTCTGTTACTCAGTGCATCCCAACTCACAGTGGTGAGCCCACAGGAGGGCTCGGAGACTGCACATCTTTACAAGTGTGGGCAATCCCAGAATTCTCTCAAGGAACGGCTGGTGGGTTTGAACCACTGACCTTGTGGTTAGCTGCCCCCAATGTCACCCAGGATCCTTCTTTTATCGAGAAAGTCTATCTCAAAACAAAAAACCTCCAGGATGAAATTATATATGCTTTAAAAGTAGACATTGAGATTAAGGACAAATTTTCTTTTCATTAAAAAATATTTGCATAAGTTAATTTGTTTATTCCTTAAAGCCAAATAGCTTGAAAGTTCAATATGTTTATGTACATACTGAATTGTAAAGATGATTTGTCCTATGAACGCTCCCCGGGTTGGCTACCACACCTCTACTCTTTTCCACCCACATATAAAGCCATGTGGTTATGATAAAAAACAACTTTTGCTATGGAGTCTGAGGACGCAGAGTGTTTTAAGAGCTAAGTCTATGGATTCCCTGAGCAAATCATCCTCACTTCAAGGTTGAGGTCAGCGACTTGGTAGAGGGTTCTAGCAGCTTACAGCTAGACTTCAGAGGGTCCAGAGAGAAATAACTGAAAGGAAAGTGAGAAGAACTGTTCTTACTGCACTGCTAGTGCCGTTGAGTTACTGCCAACTTGGACCTCCGTGCCATGGAACACAACTGCGCCGCCCTGCGCCAGGCTGTTGTTCCATTTGT